CAAAGTGAACTACAGCTTGAACTACATAGTGAAACCCTGTCTCAAAAAACAACAAAATAAATAAGGACCTTCAAGATTATTCTGCATTATCTAGTTGGACCCACATCCTACAAGGGAGGTGAAGAGGTCAGACAAGAGGAAGAGTGATGGGCCAGGCAGAGGCTGGACCCGAGACATGGGGAAAGCCACACTGCTGACTCTGAGAGGAAATGAGTGCTGTCACCCTACATGTGGCTTCCAGGAACCAAGGAAGACGAGGAAACGGATTCGCCCCTCTGAGACTCCAGAAACCACCAGCTCTACCAGCACCTTGCCGATAATGGGGGTAGTTTTGGCCTCTGTCCTCCAGAACTTACCAAGATAAATTTGTGTTGGTGTAAGTCATGAACTGTGTGACGATTTCTTATAATGGTATAGAAAATTCATACTGATGTCTACCTTGGAACATTGTGTATAGTTTTCTATTTCATAGCAACTATGCCTGATTGTATTCTTTAAGCACAAAAATGCATGGAGAGACAAAAACAATGTGGAGGCAGAAGAGAGTGAGGAGCAATGGAATGCTGAGCATTATGAGCATTGTTGCTGCCTGCGGAATTTTAGGGATCATTCTATACAGGAGGTGATGCTTTGTGAGCAGTAATATTGGATGACTGCAGCTGTTTGAAGGTCATTCATACTTGGGGCTAAGTTCTTGCCTGAGTTTGGAGGGACAGATATGCTAGCCCTGGGCAGGAGAGTGCTGAGCTCTTTCTTGCACTACTGTAGTGATTTTGGTGCATTATCTATTTTAGCTTTTTCATCCTTGTCATGTGAGTAATCATTAGCTCATCTAAGAGATTAGAGAGCTGAAGTTTAAAGAGATTCAAGTAATGCATCTGGGGTTGTATGATGTAAGATGTCTGCTTTATTGGGAAGTTTAAAGTGAGATTATTATAAACTTGTAGCTTCTTTTCCAACAATGACATTCCATTCTATGCTATTAATATTCTGAAGCCCACTTTTTAGATCCCTAAAGCCTGCATTCCATCAGCTGTCGTGTGTTTGTTCCTCACTTCAATTCTGAAAATGAATGGGGGTCGAGATGATGGTAACTTTTGTGCTATTCCTTCTAGGTGAGAGGTAAAAGCAATGGGCTTGGATTGCTGTGTAGTTCTTTATGCAGGAGGCATAGGCAAAAACTCTTCCTAGCAAGCAGTTCGTTTAATTGTGCCTAGTTTTTAAGAGAGAGAGGAGATAAATCATCCATATGAGCAGTAGTCTTTCATCAATAGCCATATTAAGAAATAGACACTGGAATAATTCTATGAATTCAAGTCACCTTATTATCAGGTTTTCAATTTAATAATCTGGAGAGCCTCAGACAGCTGGGTGTGCACTGGATGGTGGGATGGGCTGGCTACACAAGTTCTCATTAATCCCTCACTGCTCCAGGTATCCAGCGGGATTTTGGTGCAATAGCAGTTTCTTAGCTGAAGCATTTAGTCAAAGGAAGGATTCGTGAGTTAGGAATCTTTTTCCCTGAAATAACGGGCAGAACAACATTTTGGACGAGTTGCAGATTCCTGCTGTTTATTCCTGACCCTTTCTGTGCCCTTTTCCTGAGAGTGTTTCTCTGCAGTTGTGCTCTCTGCTCTCAGCCTAGCTGAGTTTCTAGTGCTAAAGGACCTATATGCGTGGAACCAGAGATCAGAGCATGCATCTTCACAAACGTTCAGCACATGTGGAGGCATTGGCACTGACACTAGAATTGGTGCTGGCCCAGAATCTGGCGTGCTTCTTAACCCCAGCAGGGCCAGAAATCCTAGCTGTCCCTCCCGCCCTGTGGTAATGACCACCTGCCTCCATCTTCGTGCGCTTCCTCTCTGCCAGTATCAAGTTTATCTCTCACACTGCAAGTCCACCAGCCTGCCTGCATACTATAGTTATCTGGAGAGCTTGAAAAAAAAAAAAAAAATTGTCCCTTGGGGCCTCTCCCAGGCCCATTCAGCAAGAACCCTGGGATGAAGAGGACCCAGGCCCAACCTTTTAAAGGCACTTTAATTATTTTTAGTGTCCACCTGGGTTTTAAGGTAACAGTCCTAGACCAATCTAGATGCCTATAAATAAGACAAGATCCCCCCTCCTTCCTGACCCTGATCCCCCAAACCCTGCTACATCAGCAGGCCTTCACCCTTGCTGGTGAACATTATCACCCCAAAATGTGCTCCTTCAGCATAAAAATTATTGTAAAGATTATCTGGATACAGAAACACAGGTTTAAAATTTTTCCCCTTATCTAACTAAAAGCATCAAGTTCTGTGAAATAAGACCGCCCCAAATTGTTTTTCAGAGTGGACGAATTCCAGAGGAAGGCATTCCTGAGTCCCTGCTCTAGAGAAGTTTAATGGTCTGAAGAAAGCAAAAAGATCTCTCGTAGACAAACATCACAAACTTTCTTGCTTGTTCTTCTGAAAACTCATTTATTATTCAAAAAAATCATCTGTTCCTCCATAAATGCCATTAATCTCTTGTTTCACTTATGAAGGCGGCACAGAGGACCCAGTTCTAAACGTTTGAGTTACCCATTGCTGAGTCCAGGAACCGTAACAATATTACATCCGTGCAAAACACTTTCCCCCTATTAATCTGTCATTTTCAAATTTAATTTGCAAAACACATGATCTAACCTAAGGGGAAGAAGTAGATTTCTTTCCTTCTGATGCCAGTACAGGGCATCTACTGTTTTCACTGT